TTTTGAGACAGAGTCTCGCTTTGTTGCCCAGGCTAGAGTGGAGTGCCGTGGCGTCAGCCTAGCTCACAGCAAATCAAACTCCTGGGCTCAAGTGATCCTCTGCCTCAGCCTCCGGGTAGCTGGGACTACAGGCATGCGCCACCATACCCGGCTAATTTTTTTTACTATATATATCAGTTGGCCAATTAATTTCTATTTATAGGAGAGACGGGGTCTGTCTCTTGCTCAGGCTGGTTTTGAACTCCTGACCTTGAGCAATCCGCCCGCCTCGGCCTCCCAAGAGCTAGGATTACAGGCGTGAGCCACAGCGCCCGGCCTAGACTATCAACTCTTGATCATCTGTTCCACTTTTCTAAACAATTGTTGACAGACAAATCTAAATTTGCATTTTTAAAAAAATAACTCAGGTGAAACAAGGTAGAAAATTTATATTTCAAATATACAGAGGAAATTTAACATTTTTTTTAAAGAAACATTTGGGCTGGCAAAGTGGCTCATGCCTGTAATCCTAGCATTCTGGGAGGCCAAGGCAGGAGGACTGCTTGAGGTCAGGAGTTCAAGACCAGCCACAGGCCTGAGCAAGAGTGAGACCCTGTTCTACTAAAAATAGAAAAATTGGCCAGGTGTGGTGGCATGCACCTGTAATCCCAGCTACTTGGGAGGCTGAGGCAGGAAAATCACTTGAGCCCAGGAGTCTGAGGTTGCTGTGAGCTAGGCTGATGCCATGGCACTATAGCTCAGATGACAGGCAAGACAGAAAGGAAAAGAAAGGGGAAGAATGTGGAAGGGATGACGGAGGAGGAAAGGAAAGGGAAGGGAGGGTTTGGTGTGTTAGGGGAACATTATGATGTCATATTCAGAACATGTTCTTAAAAAAAAAAAAAAAAAAAAAAAAAAAAAATGTGATGTCAAAGTAACACAAAATCTTAGGATTTACCATGGAATTTTATAAGGAGACACACAGATGAGTCTAGAAGAAATTTAGAAATTTAATAACCTGCTCAATGTCAGAATGTTATATTTTGGAGGCCAATCTAGCTAGGTAGGTGGCTTTTACATTTATGTGTTTTTAAAACTGGCCCAGCAAGCTCTGTAGCTCACACTGAATCTCAGGTCCCCAAAAAGGGAGCACCATGGGACTGGGCCATGCAATGTTTTCACAGTGAATTTTGTTATAAAGACATTTTTCTAAATATTTAAACTGTGTTGCTTATCAAAGCCACAAAAAGCAGCCCTTATAGTAATAACTATGTACTGTAAATATGTATCCCCAGCCAGTGTCCCACTGGCCATCACACACATAAGAGTTTTTGTTTTTAATTAATACAGGTTGGATATCAGTCTTTAATTAACCTGACTTCTAACCACAGAGGTTTTTTAACAATTGTTTAAAATCTGTTACTATTCAGATTTTAGCCAGGACAAGCTGCTGATATTTCTAGGTTCTGATTTTTTTTATTAGAGTACTCTCTTAAGTGAAAGCTGATCTTTTTTTTTTTTTCTTTTTTCTTTTAATAGAAGCAAGGAAGCACAGAGAGAGAAAGCTAATCTTGGTCAGAGGTACTCTCTTAAGTGAAAGATAATCTTTTTTTTTACTTTTTTTTCTTTTTTCTTTAATAGAAGCAAGGAAGCACAGAGAGAGAAAGCTAATCTTTGTCAAAGCTACTTTCTTAAGTAAAACTAAGTCTTAACCATGGTTATGACTTAATCAAGGACATCTTTAAAGATGTGTAAGGTAGTCTTCACAAGATCTAGCACTACCCCAAAGAAAGCTGAAAGAAACGAAAGTTTTGCTAGTCACAAATAGAGTGCAACTCATATTTCTATCCAGCCATATTTTTAGGGTCTCAACTTCTTAGCTAACTGTCTATACACAAAGGCCCAAAAGCACCCATGCCCCACAGGTGGAAGAATATATGAAATCAAAAACTGTCCACGGAAGGAAAAAGAATTAATAAATGGCAAAATTCATACAAATATCAAATTAAAAGGCCCAATCCAAAATCAAAGCCAGGTTACCACAGCAAAAGCACGAAATTTTAAGTAGCCTTCATGGTGAATCCCATGTGGAATCCAAAGTGGGCAGTCTGAGTGTACAAGGATTTTGACTTTAAGTCAGATTTTTGCTTTTTTACCCTTTTAAGTGAATGTTTAAACCAGGCATCCTCAAACTATGGCCGGTGGGCCACATGCGGGCCCTCTGGCCCGCCGGGTGTTTTTGCCACCGCTGCCTGTCCTGCTTAGCAGCCGACTTGTCCCGGGCCCACAGTGCGCATGTGTGGAATGTGCGCTGCACTTTCCAATGGCCCTCCAACAGTCTGAGGGACAGTGAACTGGCCCCCTGTTTAAAAAGTTTGAGGACCCCTGGTTTAAACCCTTAAAAATAGCCATGATACTATTATGTGTCTTTAAAAGTTGGATCTATCAATTATTTAGAATAAGAGATTTTTTAAATCTCTGTCTATATTTAAATTTAGAAGTCTAATTTAAAGGATCCATTTTCCTGGCCACTGACAATTTGAATTTTTACTAGTATATTTATTTTAGTAGTAACCCAATCTAAAAGTCTCCCAAGGATACAATTTTAGGGCCTAGGCCTGGTGTGGTGGCTCACCCCTGTAATCCTAGCATCCAGGAGACCAAGGTGGGAGGATCACTAGAGCTCAGGAGTTCGAGACCAACCTGAACAAGATCAAGACTCCATCTCTACTTTGAAAAAAAAAATAAAAAAGTAATTTTAGGGCCTATAAGAAGCAATTTCAAAGATATTCTCACACTCCCAGAAATAGGCTAAGATAGCAAAAGACTCTTGTTGCCACTACATTAACCAGATAACAAGGGTTAAGACAACAAAAGCCCTTATGAACAGTACTTTTTAATGACAAATACCCTCAAGAGCTTGATATATTTGGAACAAAACAATCTAAGGTTCCAGTCATTTTCAGACTGGTCACCTGACATGACCCAAAAAATCCCAGCATCCCCCCACACCACGTAAGATGGTGGAGCCCAAGAGAGCATTCCCACTTAGTCACAAGTCAAGCTCTCAAGAACATAAAGAAAGATGGCAGGGGATTTTATCTGGTATCCCTCTTTATGATAGGGCCACACAGAAAGACAAAGCAAAGAAAAAGACAATTTCTGGGAGGAAGGGGATTGAGCAGACAAACAGTGATTTTTACCGTCTGCTCAACCAGATTTCACAGAAAAGGAAGGAGGGGCTGGGAGCCTGGCTGGTAAAAAATTCTCATCCTTTGTCAGAAGATCAGGTTCCTGGGTTTTCTTTACTGTGGCTTCTAGAAGGACAGAGCCTTTGATCACCCTGCTCACTACTTATAAAAGGAAACTTAAAAAAAATGTATATCGGCCAAGACAAAATTATAATACACATGTAAGAAAGACACAAAAATGCCAGTTACTCTGGTCAGTATCTGAGTTTTAACTTGACAAAACAGACAAAATGGTTCCCCTCCAACCTGAGAGTTAGGCCCACTAACCTTCTGCCAGCAATTTTTTCAGGGTTCCTCACACAGATATGACAAGACAAATGTAAGGCCGGTGGCAGGCCCCCCTCCCCTCCCTAGATCAAAAAAATAAAAGGCTCACGAGGCCAGACCCACCAAGGACAACTGTCAGGCCCCACTGAGAACAACCACACCTAGATGTCCACCTGGATAAGAAAGTTTTGCCTCCTGGACTCCACAAATACCACCAGCCCCTCCTATTTCTAAATGACCACCAAAGGACACAGTGGAAAAACCCTAGTTCTTCCTGCCAAAAGTCCTCAGCCCACTTAAAATGGTATAAAAGCATCCCCCCCCTTTCAAACAGGCGCAACTTCTTGGCTCCCCCCCCTTGGGACCCACAAACCTCTCCTGGGAGTGCTCAATAAAGCCACGTTGTTTGGTCCCACTCTCTGTCTTTTTTTTACACTGCTGCCAAGAATTTTACAACAAAGATGGACACAAGTCCTCTCAAATCAGAATTTTAAAACCAAAAATAAAGTTGTAAGCAAATCAAATGCAGTTGTTCAAGGTCATATTCCCTTTAGTGGCTATCTCCTACCAAACCAGGTGTTCTGCTGAAGCAGAAGCAGAGTCAAGTGCCCTGGCAAAGCAGACCTAAATGTCCTCTTGAGGCAGAATGAAGGTTCTAAAGGGATAATACCTTGGTATTGTCACACACAAATCCATTATTTACCTAAGATATCTTTTAAGCCAAGTATCTGTTTCTGAGGTTGTAAGATGAAAACACCATGGGCCAATGATACCTGGTCAGTTGCTAAACACTGTTCAGGCAGCTTCTGGACAGGTCCTATGGGTGGCTGTGGCCAGGAGCCAATCTTTCAGGAGCAAGACAGCCACTTGGGATCTTTGCCCATCTGGGGTGCCAATAAATTGCTACCAAATCAAACTGGGGTTTGCTCACCTAGTGCAGTAAAGCCAGACTTTGAAGCTGGAGTGGAAGAAAGCAGCTTTATTGCAAGGTACCACATAAGGAATATAGGTAGCTAACACTTAAAACCTGAATGTCTCAATGGCTTACAAGCCAGGGTTTTTAAAGGCAGGAATACATTTCAGGCAGGCAAAATTGTAAATCAATATATGGAGGTTATCCATTGTCCTAGCCCAAAGAAAGAGTAGACCTCAAGCAATCTTCCCACCGTGGTCTCCCAGAGTGCCAGGATTACAGGAATGAGCCACAGTGCCCAGCCTAATTTTAACTTTTTAAAATTAACTAAGATCTCCTCCTTAAAACACTAATGGTTATAAAAGTATAAACAAAATAAAAATCTCTAACTAAATGACAAGCTGCATTTTTTTTTTTTGTCTTTCCACTATATCCCACACTGGGTGTTGCCTTCAGGAATAAGTAGCCTATTATAATAATGCATCAGAAATTTAAACCTAACTTCTTAAATATAAATCATCCTCAAAGGTTATATAAGCTTTCAGTCATTTTCTTCCTATCAATTAAAATAGGAATTCAATTGCATTTTCATATTATCAATTAAAATACAAATTCATTTGTCTTAGGATGAGTAAAAACCTGTTATATGCCAAAGCTCTCTAGTGACATGCACACAAAAACTGAACTAAAAATGAAAAATCTACCTGAGAACTTAAATGCATCCATCTTGCATCTTGAGATTTTCTTGCACAAAGGGAACACAAATTTTGTTTGGTTCCAGAATTTTCTTGCCTTACATCATATCTCACAACTTCCATTTTCGAAGTTGAAGAAACTAAAATCTTGATGGTAGTGGGTTATCAGAACTTATTAACATTAGTGTCACTAAAGTTGGTATTCAACCCCCCACTGCTAAATTTTACTGGCTTAGAAAAAAAAAAGAAACTAAAATCTTACACACTGACACAGGTAATAAAATTACAAAATACCAACAGAAACTAGAGTTGAAGGGTCGCTATATTCAACACATTATGGAATCCAAAGGAAAGAAACACAAATATTCTCATCAGCACAGATAAGCAACCTGCTTCCTCACAATTCAGAAGAAAAACCCACAGTCAGCAGGTTAAACAACTTAACAAGCTTGGGAGCCACACACTCACCATTGAGGTACAACGCCTAGATACAGCTGAAGGTTCTGACCCAAATGAACTCCCAAATTTATTAACCCCGTATCCAGTAGACAAAAGTCCAGACCTTCAAAGAATTTCTCAATATGTAAAAGTTACTCTCCGAATGTAGCAACATTGTGGATGCAAAACTCAAACCTAATTATCTAAAAAGAAGCCCAGGAAATAACAATTACAATGTCAGAAGGAGCGTCACTCTCCCTACCTAAACCCCTAAGGTCAAGAGGGTCCCCAGGTTCCCAGTGCTGCAAGCTTCTCTCAGTACAAAGGACTCCTCCCAAGGTCAGAGTGAGCAGCTGGGACACCTGCCAGGGAGACTCTCCAGGAAGAACCAACTGTGTCCTCCACTACTTCCCTTGGCAAGCTAAGGGGTGGCCTTAGCTTTAAGTGACTGCCTCAGGCCTCTGTTCACCATTCACGTGGCTTTGGAACACCATATTTTAAATGGACAAAGCTAGTGTTTGAAGAATACAGCAAAACTACTCAAACTAAGTATTTATGTGTCAAGTATGGAAACAAAATGTAAGGAACTTTTCCTAGTTTCACAACAAACCCACAAATATTTATTCCTTTCAGAAAATGAAGATGATGTCAGTTAATTATTATGCCACAGCAAGAAATGGTTTTATAGACAATCATATTTTAACACATCTGGGAGTTGCAAGTCTAAGCCCTGGAATTCCTTCACCCAAAAGAAAAAGCAGGCCTCAGAAACCTAGGAGAAGAAAAAGCGGTAAAAAGAATGTATAACAAATGGAAGGTAATGCTGGAATGCTTCATTTTTTCTGAAATTCATTTTTCTTGCCTTTTTCAAATAATCTGTATTGTCTTTTTGTAAGGCTGATGGCAGGCCCCCCGTCCCTCCCTAGATCAAAAAGAAAAGGCTCACAAGACCAGACCTGTGAAGGACAACTGCCAGGCCATACCTGTGGAAGGACAACTGCCAGGCCCCGGTGAAAACAACAACACCTGGATGTCCACCCAGACAAGAAAGTTTTCGGTTCCTGGATTCCGCAAATACTGCCAGCCCCTCCTGTTTCTCAATAACCACCGAAGGTCATACTGGGAAATCCCCAGCTCTTCCCCACAAAAGTCCCTAGCCCTCCCCAAATAGCATATAGGCCCGCACCCCTTCCAAATGGACACAACTTCTCGCCCCCCCCCACCCCCGCTTGGGACCTGCGAACGCCACCCAGGATCACTCAATAAAGCCATGTTGTTTGGCCCCTCCCTCCCTCCCTCCCTCCCTCCCTCCCTCTCTCTCTCTGTTTCTTTTGCTGCCAGAAAACTTTACATTTGGTGCCAAAATCTTGGAGGAGTGCCTTGGCTACGCCGGCCTGCCTCAGGGCCATGGTCGCGAGGTCCCCTCTCACATCTTCCTGACCTTGGACCAGGACCTCCACTAGATGGCAGTTGGCTAAGTGGCCTGGGTAAGTCCCTCTGCCCTTGTGGTCCTAGCTCAATTTGTCCATTCCAGGGTCTCTGTCCATAAACCTTAGGCCCAAGTCAGAGATCCTCCACCATAAGGACCTGAGTGTCTTGAGGACATCTGAGCCCCTCAGTCAGTCCTTCCATCCATAAGGCCCTGAGTGCCTCAGGGACACCTGATCCACTCAGTTGGTCCTTCCCAAGGCTCAGAGCCTTCTCTCCAAGGCCTGATTGGTGACCTGGGATGCTGGCTCCCTGATATCATCCTCCCCTCATTGGACTAGGACACCATAGGCAGTCAACCCTCCAAAATCAAATCTAGCATGCCTCTGGGCTGTCTCTTAGCCAATCTTGAAGCCCTGGGCCTCAAGCCTGATGTTTAGCCCAAGTGACTCATTTTCTATTGTAACACCGCCTGGCCAATGTACAAATTAGACAATGGGTCACAGTGGTCTAAAAATTGGGCTTTCAATTTCAACATATTACAAGATCTCGGTACCTTTTGTCACCAAAATGGCAAATGGGGGGATATCCCTTATGTCCAGGATTTCTTCTACCTGTGCTCCCGTCCTTCCCTGTCAGACCTGTGACCTGTCACAGATCCTCCTTGCGTGGAGTCCTCTGCCGTCCTTGGCCTCTTCCACTTCTCAGTCGAAGGACTCATTAAAACCCTCTTCTGCATTCTCTGACCTGCCTGACTCCCTTACTTCTCCCCCTGCTCGGCCGCCACTATATCTGGGTCCTCCTCCTCCTAGTGCCCCACCATCCTCTGCTACCACTCACGCTGGCTCTCTGCCAATGTCCCCTGTCAGTCACCACACTTGATCCCACAAGGGATCCTCAGATCAAACCCTCCTCTGTCCCCTGCGAGAGGTAGCTGGCACCGAAGGGATCGTGCGTGTCCATGTTCCCTTCTTCCTTTCTGATCTCTCTCAGATTGAAAAGCGTTTGGGCTCCTTTTCTAACGACCCCACCGCCTACACCAAAGAGTTCCGCTATCTTACACAGCATATGATTTGACCTGGCACGACATTTTTATTATTCTGTCTTCTACTCTCACTACTAATTTAAAAAAGAGCATGTCTGGGCTGCGGCTCAGGGACACGCTGACCAAATTCACCTTACAGACCCCACAATGCCGGTGGGGGCCGAGGCCGTTCCCCGCCAGGAGCCAGGGTGGGTATATCAACCTGATACCCTGGCCGGGCGAGATGGAAGAAATTGCTGAGAGTGCATGTTACAGTGCGTTCTCGCCGGGCTTCAGGCTGCCACCCACCAAGCAGTAAATTATGACAAGCTTAGAGAAATCACTCAGAAGACAGATGAAAAGCCCATGGCCTTCCTCAGCCACCTCATGGATGCTCTCATCCAATATACCCGCTTAGACCCCACTTCCCCAGCAGGGGCCACCGTCCTTGCAACTCACTTTATCACCCAGTCCTCCTCTGACATTAGATGCAAACTTAAAAAGGCAGAAGGTCCTCAGACCCCTATCCAAAACCTGGTGAACATGGCATTTAAAATCTTTAACTCCTGAGATGAACAGGTAGAGGCCCAAAGGGAGGCCCAGGTCCACCAAAAAGCATGCCTGCAAGCCCAAGCCTTAGTTGCAGCCCTGCAGCTGGCAGGGCCAGAAAAGCCATCGACCTCATCTAAAGCAACCAGCTGCACTCCGTCGGGCACGTGCTTCAAGTGTGGTAAGGAAGGCCGCTGAGCCAACTGATGCCCGCAGCCATGTCAGCCCACTAAACCTTGTCCAGCCTGTGGTGAAGAGGGACACTGGAAGAGTGATTGCCCCTTAGGACAAACGTCCAGAGGGTCAGTCCTTCCACCCCCAGACCTGCCGTTGATGGTTTTGGGCTTGACTGCAGAAAACTGACCAAGCCCTGGCTCTGGGATCCCGATCAACCTCCCCAAGCCCAGGGTAACAATCAAGGTAGCAGGTAAGACAGTGTCCTTTCTGGTTGACATGGGGGCTACCTACTCTGTCCTACCTTCTTTTTCAGGCCCTACTTATCCTTCCCAGGTGTCGGTTATGGGTATTGATGGCAATCCTTCACAGCCCCCTACTACTGGTCCTCTGACATGTCTTATAGATGACCATCCTATCACCCATTCCTTCCTCATCATGCCCTCCTGTCCCTCTCCACTTTTAGGAAGAGACTTAATAGCCAAATTAGGCACCACACTCCACTTTTCCTCAGGAACATCCAACATTCTCCTTCTATCCCTCTCTTCAGATTCCTCACCCCCACCCTCCACCTCTCCCGAGACCTGTCCTCTCCCGCCTGCACTTGTAGACCCTCAGGTTTGGGACACCTTCACCCCAGTAGTGGCCACACACCACGCCCATCCTCATTCGACTCAAAGACCCTTCATCCTTCCCTTCTCATCCCCAGTTTCCTATTTCACTGACCCACCACAAAGGTCTAAAACCCATCATAGAACATCTTCTGCGTGAAAAACTTTTAATCCCAACTAATTCCCCCCATAACACACCCATTCTCCCGGTAAAGAAGCCGAACAGGTCCTACCAGCTGGTCCAGGACCTGAGGCTCATTATCGAGGCTGTTATCCCCATACACCCTGTGGTGCCTAATCCCTGCACTTTACTTTCTCATATTTCGCCCTCCACTACCCACTTTTCTGTTCTGGACCTCAAAGATGCCTTCTTTACTATCCCCTTGGACCCAGCCAGTTACAATCTCTTTGCCTTTACGTGGGAAGATCCTGACACAAACACATCTAGACAACTCACTTGGACCGTCCTGCTCCAGGGGTTTCGGGACAGCCCCACCTATTTGGTCAGGCTCTGGCCCAAGACCTACTCCAATGTCCCTTACAGCCTAGCACTGTTCTCCAATATGTTGATGATCACTGCTCTGTATCCCCTCTTTATGGCACTCTAAGACCCACACTGCCTCTCTACTTAACTTTCTTGCTTCCAAGGGCTATAGAGTGTCCCCCTCCAAGGTCCAGCTGTCCGAGCCCACAGTCACTTACCTTGGGCTTCGTCTCACCCCCATGTCCCAGGATCTCACTGTTGACCGCCAACGGGCTCTTCACAATCTCTAACAACCCACAACTGCTGAACAGATTCTGTCTTTCCTTGGATTTGTTGGTTTCTTCTGACACTGGATCCCTAGCTTCTCTCTCCTTGCTAGACATCTCTATGAGGCAGCCCATGATGTCTCCGCTGGCCCTTTACTAAACCCCCAAGCTGTCCCCTGTGCATTTCGGAAGCTTCGTGACACTCTACTCCAGGCACTACTTCTAAGACTCCCTCATTCTGAAAAACTCTTTTACCTCTACACAGACGAGTACACAGGGCCTGGCTTTTGGTGTCCTCGCCCAACCTTTGGGCTCCTGGAGCCCACCCACCTGTACTCCAGTGGCTTATTTATCCAAACAACCAGACACCACAGTCCATGGCTGGCCGCCTTGCCTTAGGGCACTGGACACGGCAGCCTCTCTCACCAGGGGAGCACTGAAGCTTTTCCTAGGACAGGACCTTCATGTCTTTTCTACCCATCACCTTCAAGATCTCCTAACTCACTGCTCGTTGGTGCTCCTCACTCCCTCTAAATTACAGGAATCTCATCTCCTATTCATAGAAAATCCCAACATTACCCTAACACAGTCTCCTACTTTAAACCCTGCTACTTTGCTGCCCATCCCGTCCTTAGCCCTTTCCTCTCACTCCTGCCCTGAGATGGTCAATGCTGCCACCACCTCTAGGCCCGACCTCTCGGACCAACCCCTCTCAGATGCAGACTTAACACTGTTTGTTGATGGCAGCCCGTCCATGGGAGATGACGGCAAGTGCAGGGCAGCCCATGCCATTGTCTCAGCCTCTCAGGTTAATGGTGGCTTCTCGCCTCCCTGAGGGCACCACTACTTCCCAGAAGGCAGAACTGATTGCCTTTACTCGACCCTTACATCTAGCCAAAGACAAAACTGTCAATATCTATACTGACTGCAAATACGCCTGTACGATAGCCCACTGTCACGCTGCCATATGGAGAGAGCATGGCTTTCTCTCTACCAAGGAATCAGTGGTATTCTATTCCTCAAGGCACACTCCATACGAGCTGAGAATATATCCTTCTTCCCCAAACATCACTTCACACTCAGATTCAAATATCTACCAATAGTCTTCAGGCAGAACAAACTCTAGCCGGACCGCTTCCTCCCTGCCCTCAATACTCTCCTCTCTCCTCCTGGCTAGATATCATTCACCATACCCTCGCCTTCCTAAATTCCTTGGAAATAATCCCTAATATTTCCCACTGCTTCCTCTGCACCTCCCTTAAACAACCCCTGCTGGCTGCTGTCCCTCTAAACTATTCTAACCCTCAAATGACTCCCTCATCAGCTCCCTCATGCTCCACTCGGCTCACTCACGTTCCCCTTTGGGAACCTCAGCCTACCAGGCCAACCCTATGCAGATCAAGTGTGGTTTCTCACCCCAACCTACAACTTCACGGACGCCGCCTTACCAACCATACTATGACCACAACCACCTCCTCTGCTCCAGGACAGTTCTTCTGGTGCAACAGAAGACTTACCCACTGCGTCAATACATCCACCCCGGGTCCCTGCTTCCCTGTCATGGTGGTCCCTCAATTAACTCTATTCAGTGAGTCTGAATTCGGGTGGCTTCTCCCAGGGCCCCAGCTGAGACGAGCCATCTTTTTACCTGTCATGGTGGGTCTCAGTTTGGCCTCTTCCATTGTGGCCTCAGGGCTCACCGGAGGTGCCCTGGGCCACAGTGTTATTTCTGCCCAAGATTTTGCAAATCACCTACAAGTCACCCTAGAAACCACTTCTTCCTCGCTGGCCACACTACAAGGACAACTAATGTCGCTGGTTCAGTTATCTCCAAAATCGAAGAACATTAGATCTGCTGACGGCCCAAAAAAGGAGGAACCTGCCTTTTCCTTCGTGAAGAATGTTGCTACTATGTCAATGAATCGGGCCTTTTAGAACAGAACATAGATAAACTCACCAACCTGAGTGAAGACCTACCTATACAACCGCCACTGCCAGGATGTATCCCCCGTAGGCTGGATACAATCCCCTTTGGCTACCTGGCTATTGCCACTAATAGGACCTGTTGTCATCATCTGCCTAATCTTTCTCTTTGCTCCCTGTCTTTTACAGTTCCTCCAGCACCGCCTACAAGAGCTGTTACGAATGGCAGTAAACCAACTACTTCTTCACCCATACTTCCCTCTACCAGTCACCCTTCCACCAGCCGACCCCGGCCTACAGCCCCTAACTACACCCCGTCCTAGCAGGAAGTAGTCAGAAAGAGTGGCACCCATCATAACCAAAAGGCCGTAATGTAAGGCTGGTGGCAGACCCTCTTCTCCTCCCTAGATCAAAAAGAAAAGGGTCACAAGACCAGACCCTCCAAGGACAACTGCCAGGCCCCGCTGAAAACAACAACATCTGGATGTCAACCCAGAGAAGAAAGTTTTCGGTTCCTGGATTCTGCAAATACCGCCAGCACCTCCTATTTCTTAATAACCACGCAAGGTCATACTGGAAAATCCCCAGCTCTTCCCTCGAAAAGTCCCTAGCCTGCCCCGAACAGTATAAAGGCCCGCACCCCCTCCAAATGGAAGCGACTTCTCAGCTCCCCTCTCTTGGGATCAGAGAACATAGCCCGGGAGCGCTCAATAAAGCCATGTTGTTTGCCCCACCCCTGTTTCTTTCGAGGCAACTTTACACTTTGGAGCTCTGTTGATTGAATGCACGTTACATTTATTAAAATACTGAGACACAAAAAAGTGAATAAATGGTTTCAAGGTGACAAAGTCAGGGAGGGGCAATGCTGACCTGCAACTTTGCTGAAGGAAAGCTCACTTTGGGAAGGTTCCAAAGAGGAACCTTATTCCATAGGATGTCTGTGCCCAGGAAACACCCTGAGAGGGGCGAGAGAACTTATTTTATACAACTCACTCTCAGGTTATTTTCTGCTTTCCTTTCACATAAAACACCCACAAACAAACAAGCAAAAAAAAAAGAAATCTAAAAGACTCATCCCTGGCTGTGTGTAAAACAAACAATTAAGATACAGGAGGGTTCAGTCATTCACATGTGTAATCCTAGCACTCTGGGAGGCCAAAGCAGGAGGATTGCCTGAGCTCAGGAGTACCAGACCAGCCTGAGCAAGAGCGAGACCCCGTCTCATTTTAAAAAACAAACAAACAAATAAATAAAATTTTAAAAATAAAAAACTAGGCCGGGTGCGGTGGCTCACCCCTGTAATCCTAGCATTCTGGGAGGCGGAGGCGGATGGATTGCTCGAGGTCAGGAGTTCGAAACCAGCCTGAGCAAGAGCAAGACCCATCTCTACTATAAATAGAAAGAATTAATTGGCCAACTAATATATATAGAAAATATTAGTGGGCATGGCGCGTGCATGCCTGTAGTCCCAGCTACTCGGGAGGCTGAGGCAGAAGGATCGCTTGAGCCCAGGAGTTTGAGGTTGCTATGAGCTAGGCTGACGCCATGACACTCACTATAACGTGGGCAACAAAGCCAGACTCTGTCTCAAAAAAAAAAAAAAAAAAAAAAATAAACAAGTAAAATACAGTAAGCCTTCACTTAACGTCGTCCGTTAATCATAGATTCGAGACTGGTCCAGGGAGGGACGGGGACCCCAGACGGCAGCCCCTCCCACGCACGACCCCACACACCGAGTCGGGACCCTCGTACGACGACCCTCCCGCCGCCACCGCACAACCTGGGGACACACGAGGCTGCGGTCCCCGAGCCTCCCAGAGAGGGCACCAGGCCGAGGTCGCCGCGCAGGGACAGGACAGGACGCCCGGGGGCCCGGCTGCCCGCCCAGCCCCACCCCACGGCCGGAGGGACCGAGGTCCGAGCTGCAACGGCAGCGACCGGGGTCGGCAGACTCCAGAGCGGACGGGGTCCCTCCACAGCCGATTCCGGCCGGTTCCAACGGGCTCCTCCTCGCCATCAGGGTACGCCCTGCCCCGCACACTCACTGTTTCTCGGCTCCCGGGGTGTCCCGGCGTCCTCGCCATGTCCCTCACACCACACAAGTTGTGGTGGAGACACCTGAGGCCTCCCGGAGAAGCAGTGACCAGACCGGACCTCGAAAAAGGCGCGAAAACACCACCGCGAGAGCGTCTCCAGCGCCTTCGCGACCCAACCCCCCACAGCACGCTGATTGGACAGCTGACTAGGCCCCGCCCCGGCGCCCCTGATTGGATAGTGTCCTACGCCCCGCCCCATGGGGGTCCTCAGTAACTGGGCAAGAGTTCAACCACGTGTCCCAGTGGCGTCACAATGACAGGTTCTCCCCGGTTGCCTTGCCGGCTTGGGCATCTTTCCCTCTCCATGACGTGGCCTTGTCTGGGGACACTGGCATTTAAGGAGAACTTGCTCCTGGCTTTCCAGGGTGGGCATCTTCCTGTACCAATAGGCATTTCCTTCTTCCTCCAGGACACGGTGTCCAGCGGAGCGATCACCTTGCCTCAGAGCAGGAGGGGAGCCCACACCCGGCCAGGCCACACCGGAACAGGACAGAGGGCCTGACGTCCTCCAGGGGTCGGGAATTTGGAATGAGGCTGTTGGCGGCATGGCCAAGGTTTCCTCACACTTTCTCTCTCAAGTCTGTTCATCTTCAGGCAAGAAAATAAAAACACCAACGAGGGAATATAATTATTAAATACATGGAAAATAAGGCTGGGCGTGGTGGCTCAAGCCTGGGATCCTAGCACTCTGGGAGGCCGAGGCGGGAGGATTGCTTGAGCTCAGGAGTTCGAGACCAGCCTGAGCAAGACCCTGTCTCTACTAAGAATAGAAAAAATTAGCCAGCCAACTAAAAATGAAACAAAAAATTAGCCAGACATGGTGGTGCATGCCTGTAGTCCCAGTTACTCAGGAGGCTGAGGCAGGAGGATCGCTTGAGCCCAGGAATTTGAGGTTGCTGTGAGCTAGGTTTACGCCACGGCACTCTAGCCTGGGTAACAGAGTGAGATTCTTGTCTAAAAAAAAAAATACATGGAAAATAACTAGAATTATATGGCATCAATATTCTACAAAAGAATCAGGAAGAAAAGGAAACATCTAAACCAGTTCACTTAAGCAGTCTGCCGCACCCACAGTTCACAAAGAAAACCTCCACTGAGTGCTTACACATATTCCCAAGCTTAGAAGTCAGACTCTGGCTGCTGAAATGGAGCCCCAGAATCGATCAGTACCAGTTGATCAGGGAGGACAACGTAAGAATTTAACTCGGGGAGCTCAACATGCCCTCCTGTTCCCTCCTCACAGTGTGGAAACCCTCCCTCCTTCGAAACCTTCACTTTCACCAGCAGGAAACTCTCCCCTGGAGTCAGTTAAGCTTCTGGCCTAAATAAACTGTCAAATTCATAAACCCTTTCTCCAGGAGACAACCCAAACGAGCCTTTCTGAGCCTAAGCTTCACAGATTTCCTTCATATACACACATTGCAGTCAGATTTCAGCGACCCTGTGCATGCCAAAACCAAAACACTGTCCACAAAACGGTCCCAGGAACCAAAGGTACAACCTCAGAAAGCACAGAAGTCCCCAACTGCATCTGCACGTGGGTCCCCTGCTGTCCAGTGCTCTGGGGCTTCTCAGAGTCCAACACTCCTGCTGTGTCCATCCTTAGCAGTTGGAGGTCACCTGGGGGGAGGCCAGGCTGCCCAAGGGGAGCCCCATTTCTCTCCCTTTGCAGCCTCCAGACCAGCCTTAGCCTGGAGCCACTGTCCACAAACCTCCAGGTTATTCACTTGCCTCCCACCAACATCAAGAAGTTAAATGAGTCAAAGAGGCTCAATTCTATTGTTTAAACAAAAAGCCAGCAGAGTCCTTGCTCTCTTTCTGTGTTTATATATAAAGCAAAGGAAGAAAACACTGAGATACTTTATATGAATTAAAAACATGGCATATATTCCTCCGAGGAAACAAAAATGCCACCAAACTATTATTTTCCTATTAACAAATTATTATGTAAAATCAAATTTGAACATTCTCCTTTTCCTTCTGTTTCAGTGGCTCTCCAGCTTTCATTGGTTTATGTTTGTCACCAGGTGCTCTGTGCCTGGGGATTTACATGTCCTGGTGACCCATCGGAAACTCACTCTCAACCCCACCTCACCACCACTGAGGCACCCGGTCATTTTTGCAGCTAGATCTTAAGATTCTGTAAATAGCTTTCCCTTTTGAGGAGACTAAACTGGGAACAAGTTAAATCCACCTGTGGCTCTCTCATGTCCTTCAATTTAAATTATTCATTTGAAATTGTCTTCCATGGCAGGCAGTGGTATCTTGGGTAAGTACCTCATCCATTTTATTTGTTTCTGTTCTCTTTAAATTGTCACCTGTTCCTTGAGAGTACACACAACATATTTGAAACTGACCATCACCTGCTGTAAACTCTGGAGGTCTCAAATCAACCATGAAAAAGCCACACCATAGAGAGGATGTGAGGATGCTAACACTATCCTCAACACAAGCGTAAGCTTGACTGACTTCCCCTTTCTGGAAAATGACTTAAAGAAATTTCCTGGACGACTTTTGTCCAGGAACATATTTGATACAAGTAAAGGCAACATTGTTCAATTTGGTTTCACTTACATGGTTTAACTTTTCATAGGTTGTTAAAAAAGCAATGAACCCCGTGAGCTTCAACTGGATTTCCCAAATTCTGAAAAGTGCAGTGAAAAACTCTACACCTGGAAAGGAGTAGGAGTAACAAAGATGAGAGGAAGGACACTTGATGAGGAGGTGACATTTGGGTGAGACCTGAAATAATGTATTAGTATAAAAAGTTAGGGCTTTGATTCCTTCTTATTTTTTTTTATTTTATTTTATTTTTTTTTTTGAGACAGAGTCTCACTCTGTTGCCTGGACTAGAGTGTCGTGGCATCAGCCTAGCTCACAGCAACCTCCAACTCCTGGTCTTAAGTGATCCTCCTGCCTCAGCCTCCCAAGTAGCTGGAACTACAGGCATGTGCCACCATGCCTGGCTAATTTTTTCTATATATTTTTAGTTGGCCAATTAATTTCTTTCTATTTTTATTTATTTATTTATTTTTAATTTCTTTCTATTTATAGTAGAGACGGGGGTCTCACTCTTGGTCAGGCTGGTTTTGAACTCCTGACCTTGAAGGATCCACCCACCATGGCCTCCCAGAGTGCTAGGATTATAGGCACAAGCCACCACGCCTGGCCTGATTCCATCTTCTATGATGAAAAATAAATAAATAAATAATTTTAAAAAGGGCAGAGAATTATGGGAATATAGCAATACAGAAGCATGAGGAATGTTTCCCCAACTACACAATTACATTGGTGGCATCTCTCTTATGTAGGTATTTTGAGGCTCTGGAGTGTATTGAAGGATTTGCAACTTCTAGGGAAAGAATTAGATGAAGAATTGTGGTTAACTGCAGTCAATATCAGCTCTTAGCACAGTACAGGTCTCCATCCCCTACTCCCAGGTTGGGGCAGGCAGTTCTTGCAGCTTATGAGAGCCACAGTGGGCAAAAAGGACCACTTTCCATATATTGGGGATTCATGCTCAGCTTGCTAATTGCTCCTTCTGATTACAGAAATGGAGACAAAAAGGTGAATGGTGTTTGTTGTATCTACCACTCATTGTTGCAAGCTCCTCAGCTCCAGCTGAAGTTACTCCAGTACATTTAAAAAGCTGGTGCCTTTTCTTCCTCTTCATTTTTCTTCCCATCCCCCCTCCATGGGGAGCCAGACATTGAAGACTAGATTATTTAAAAGCAAACACATATACAGAGGAAATTAAAATATCATTAAACATGCCCAGGGAAAGGTGAGGGCTCAGAAAAGACCTGAAAAGCCTCTAAGTTTACAGTTCAGGATGATCCTCAGCACAGAAACAATGATTAAAAAAACAAAAAAAAAAAAACAGTAAACCTTGGGGAATGGGGACAATCTGATTTCCACAGTTGCCACAATATTAGATTCCAATGTCCAGTTTTTAACAAAAAATCATAAGGCTTACAATGAAACAGGAAAGTATGGCCCATTTAAAGAAAAAAAAAACAACAAACAATACGTGGAAAAGATTTGATGGAGGATCTACTAAACAAAGACTTTTAAAAAATTGTCTTACACATGTTCAAACAATTAAAGGAAGATGGGAAGTGAAGGAAAAGATGTATGAACAAAATTAAAAATCATTACAGATAGATAACCTAAAAAGAAACCCAAAAAGTAATTGTGTGATTGATAAATGTAATAACTGGAAAGACAAATTCACAAAAGGGACACAAAGGTACACTTGAGCAAGCAAAAAAGTCAATCACTTGACCATAGAAAAATTGAAATTATTATGTTTAACTAATAAAAGGAAAAAAGATTAAAGAAAGTGAACAAAACTTAAGGGACCTGTGGGACCTGTCAGTCAGGCCAACATACTCATTTTGAAACTCTCAGCAGGAGAAGAGAGAAAGAAGAAGAATATTTGAAGAAAATAATGTCTGAAAACTCCCCAAATTTGATAAAAGACATGAATATAAACATTCAAGACTGAACAAAGTCCAATGAGGATGAACTCAAAGAAACGCAAAGTGAAACTATCTTTGTTTTTTGTGTGATTTAAAAGACTAAAATATTTTTAAAAATCAATTATTATCTAAAAACTAGTATTACTCTAACTTTGGTTTGAGACTCTAATTTTGTTTTTTACATAATTTTAAAGACTAATGCAGTAATAATTATTAGTTAATGTTTTTGGACCCACAATATATAAAAATGTAATTTTTGATATAATAACTAATTGGATTGAGATGGACAAATAAAGGAACAGAGTAGTTATATGTCATGAAAACTAAGCTGGCATCAATTCCAATTTCTGTAATAGTTTTAGGATGGTGGTAGTCACAATGTAAACAGCTATAGAATACACACAAAACGAAATGAGAGAGGTATGTAAACTTCCAATATAAAAAATCAACTAAACACAAAAGACAACCATAATGCAGGGAAAAAGGGGGGCCTGAAGTCTCCCCTTACCAGTAATTACTTTAAATATAAATAGATTATACTCTCCAATCCAAAGACAGAGATTGTACTTTAAAATTGAAAACATTAAGGTTTTCCCTAATTTTTATTGAGTAAAAACACCAGATGAAGTCACCTTACAGAAGCCCAAATCCCCAAATCATTTTGAGTACCCCCTTACTGATATTCCCAAGTCACTTATGGTTTGTGGTCATTCTGCTACTACAATTAATAACACCCCACTCTTGACTACAAGTGTTATCCTGTGGTCTTCAGCAAGAAGTCAATGAGACAATCATGATTTACATTTTTGGTATTATGAGGGCATAAGAAAGTGGTTTTATGAAAAAAATTGCTATATTAAGAATAAAAATTTAAAATTCTCCTTGAGGGGAAATACTTGATCTTGTATGCACATGATAATACTGACTCAGAATAATGATTGACAAAATTACAAACTTAATTTGAAAATCCATAATCATAATATAATATTTTAATATATCCTTACAGGAAAGGAAAAAGACAATAACTGATAGTGTACACATTATTTAAAAGCAGTTAATAAAATATTTCTAAGAAACATCTACAGAAGCTTTTAACAAAAACATGCACATCATTTTTAACCACATACAATGAAACAGAACTTTAAAACATACTGAGAAATTACATTAAACTGTCATAGGAAACACTGACAATCTGCTTGATATGAGGAAGGTGCTTATTCTTACATTGTAGGACTGGGTCAGTGTATTGACTGCACAACACAGTGGAGAAACAAGCTCTCATGTAGTTCTTTTAGACTTGCCACTGCAGCTGTCATCTTGGAATCAGAAACACATAGTCACTGGCAGTATTACAAAAACATGTGTTTACTATGTAAATTAAGACCTTAGACAAATTCAATCTAGAGATGAGGTGGGTCACAGCATCAGGGAATATTCCCAATCTTGAGAATCTAAATTAATTGCCTGGTGGACACATTAGAGTTTGTAGGAAAATCCAAACTGCAGTGGATCTTTGAGTGAAACCTAATCTGTGAAAAACTACATCTCTGAAAACATGGCAGTACAGCAGTTAGTGGTGGTTCTAAGAATACTTTTGATTGGCAGGGCAAAGCATCAGGAAAACTGGATGGAAGCAGGTGTCCCTGAAGCCCCTATGCATCCATCTGTGGTTAGCAATCCTGGCAAATGCCTTCTTAACTTCTGCCTTCCATATCTCCTGTAAGTAGGCTATTGGCAATTTATAACATGGAACCACAGAAGGATAGATTGTAGAAAACATAGATCACAATATACATATTAAATTAAAGTCGAAGAATGCCATTTCCATCAATAGATTATATTGTTCTGTCAAAGGTCTCTCTTCTTAATGCAAAGTCATCCAAATCACAGCCAGAAGGAATGTCATATAACAGAAAGCAAAAAATGAAAATAGTAAGTCAAATGGAGAATGTACTGTATGATGATAAGCTTTGCACACTCACAAAGTCATTACAACCAATTTTTAGCATGGAGGTCAGAATAAGGCTCCTGGCCCTCTGCCCCTAAAACTTCAGTCAGAAAGAAAGATGAAATATATATAGTGGGTAAGGGATCTCTAGTACCTGCCACACCAGGCCAGTAGGAAAAGCCTGACAATTACCAAATTGTCATTTTTCAATGGTCCTTTACTCATAGAACAATTTAAAAATTAAAACTACTTCCATACTAAAAGTATACTTCAATTTACTCATGAGTCCAACAGACTTCAAAACAGAAAGACAAAGTTTCAGTAACTGATTTAATAGAAAAACACTATCAATTAAACTTGAGTACTCCTGCTTAACAAAGGCATACAGAATTCTCTCGCCTTGGTGTTCATCATTAAAAGTAATAAATAGAAATCCATAGTCCAGAGATATCCTTTAAGAATGATAAACTGATAAAAACAATATGTTTACAAGTTTTATAACTTTTTTCATATTGTGAATTTTCTGGAACATACGTGAATTAATTTGCATCACGCTGTCCCATATTATCTACATTTATAGGATCCCTCCCTAGGGGGAGTTTTCACAAGTTTCAAGTTTCACACGAGGAGGGTATCTTATGAGCATTTGTTAAAATTGAGAACATTCTGTTATTTCTCACTTTTTAAGGATTGCCAACCAGTGTGCATTCTCACATATTTTGTAAGCATCTCAAAAAACTGAAGGCTTTCTCACACTGCCTATATTCAAGAAGTTGCTCTCCAGTGTGAATCTGTTCATCATTTCCAAAGAAACTGAGATATCTAAAGGTTTTTCCACATTTTTTACATGTATAGGGTTTTTCTCCAGTGTGCCTTCTCATGGTCTTTGAAAGGTTAGGTGACCACTGAAGGCTTTTCCCCTATTGCTTACATTTGTAAGTTTTCTGTCCACTATGAGTTCTTTCTGGTATTTACACCTAGAGAGTTGAAAGTTTTCCCACATTTTGTATTCACAGAGTTTCTCTGTGGCATGAGTCCTTTCATGTCTTCAAAAGGTAATGGGACAATTTAAAGCTTTCCCACATTGTTTACATTTGTAGTGTTACTCTCCAGTATGAGTTCTTTCGTGTATCCGAAAGGAACGGGAACACTTAAAGGCTTTCCCGCACTGCTGACATTCATAGGGTTTCTCTCCAGTGTGAGTCCTTTCATGGATTCGAAAGGAGCGGGAACAACTGAAGGCTTTATCACACTGTTTACATTCATAGGGCTTCTCTCCACTATGAGTCCTTTCATGCATTCGAACAGAACTGGAACAACTGAAGGCTTTACCACATTGTTTACATTCATAAGGTTTCTCTCCAGTGTGAGTCCTTTCATGTATTCGAATAGAACTGGAACAACTGAAGGCCTTACCACATTGTTTACACTCATATGGTTTCTCTCCAGTGTGAGTCCTTTCATGCATTCTAAAGGAACTAGAACAACTGAAGGCCTTACCACATTGCTTACATTCATAGGGTTTCTCTCCTGTGTGAGTCCTTTCATGCATTCGAAATGAACTGGAAAAACTGAAAGCCTTACCACACTGTTTACACTCATACGGTTTCTCCCCTGTGTGAATTCTTTCATGCATTCGAAAGGAACTGGAACAACTGAAGGCTTTCCCACACTGCTTACACTCATAGGGTTTCTCCCCAGTGTGAGTCCTTTCATGTATTCGAACAGAACTGGAACAACTGAAGGCTTTACCACATTGTTTACATTCATGGGGCTTCTCTCCAGTGTGAGTCCTTTCATGCATTCTAAAGGAACTAGAACAACTGAAGGCTTTACCACACTGTTTACATTCATAGGGTTTCTCCCCTGTGTGAGTTCTTTCATGAATTTGAAAAGAACTTGGACAATCAAAGGCTTTCCCACATTCCTTACATTTATAAGGTCCATTTCCAGTGTGCATTATCATATGTCTTCGAAAGCTAGGAAGAGAAATGAATGCTTTCCCACATTCCTTACAATCATAGGGTTTCTCTCCTGTATGAATTCTCTCATGTTTTCGAAAGGAACTGGGAAAACTAAAGGCTTTTCCACATTTTTTACATTTATAGGGTTTTTCCCCAGTGTGAATCCTTTCATGACTTCGAAAGGATGTAGGACAACTGAGAGCTTTACCACACTGCTTACATTGATAAGGTTTTTCTCCAGTGTGTGTCCTTTCATGTATTTGAAAAGTTTGGTAATATCTGAAAGCTTTCCCACATTGTTTACATTCATAGGGTTTCTCTCCAGAGTGAGTTCTTTCATGGTTTCGAAATGAACTGGGATGACTGAAGGTTTTCCCACATTCTTTACATTTATAAGGTTTCTCTCCTGTGTGCATCCTCATGTGTCCTCGAAAAGTTGTATGATAAATGAAGGCTTTTCCACATTCCTTACATTCATAGGGTTTCTCTCCAGTATGAGTTCTTTCATGTATTTGAAAGGAACTGGGCCAACTGAAAGCTTTACCACATTGTTTACATTCATAGGGTTTCTCTCCAGTGTGAGTTCTTTCATGTATTCGAAATGAGCTTCGAAAGTTGAATCTTTTCCCACATTCCTTACATTCATATGACTTCTCTCCATATTTGTGATATCCATATGGTCTGTTTTCAGTATGAGATCTCATGTGCCTCTTAAGAGATGAATGGCACATATATACTTTTTCACACACACTGCATTCATACGGTTTTACCCCAGTAAGAGTTCTCTTTTTCAGTTTAAGATTCGGAGTCTGACTGAAGGTTTCTTCAAATTGATTACCTTCTTTTCTCTTACAAAGTCTCTCTGCTGTATGACTTCTGTAAAAAATAAGCACATAATTACATTTTATTATGATTTTACAACTAATAATTATTAAAGATGTCACAATCATTAATAAGTAATAACTATCTTTTACTATTTTATGGGAAAGTGTATATAATTAACGCTCTGGAAGAGGACCACAGTGATTACTAAAACAGTGAAACTCATAATATGGAGTTTCTTAATACTGTTTTCAGGTGAACTATTATTCAAATACTGAACATCTATGCCATATTTATGAAACCTTTCTTGGTGAAAATTTTCTAAAAATAAACAAATATAAAAGTGGGCTTACTTGTTTGTTATTAAATTTTAATGACACACTAAAATTCTCTCATGAGACAGTACTTTTTTTGTGAGTACAACTCACCTTAGATGTCTCCCCTGGTTTTTGTACTGATCTTCAATGTTCTGGTCCTCCCATTTTTTCCCTAAAATGCAAACCCAGAAAAATTATTGTAAATTATCAGAAATTACAGAAAAAATATTAAATGCTAGGTCCAAGCTGAGCTGCTATTCTGCTTGATTTATTTACCAAAGTATTCCCTTTCCACATTCCAAATCTTGGAAATTTATTGATGAGCAGAACTACTTGTTCTCTAATTGACTAAGTGAGGGGAAAATTTCATTCTTACCTATAGAGGCCAAGTTAATGAAGGTTTCCTGCATCACATCTCTGTAGAGTTTCTTCTGAGAATGATCCAACAGAGCCCACTCCTCCTGGGTGAAGTTCACAGCCACATCCTCAAATGCCACCAAGTCCTAAAACATCCCACATACGTGTACAGGAGAATGGGTAAGACTGACAGCATCGGGAATATATAACCTATTTATAAAAAGTTCACATATGATTCTGTGGTGTCCAAACATTTATTCTATATCTTGGTGGTTGGTACTGTGAATCTCTGTCCACACTCACTTCCTCATAAATTTAACACACCATGAATATGTGGAAATTATTTCTACATTTTTACTATGATCACTTCAAGTCTTACTGCTATCAAGTGACAGGATACATAGCATGTTGGAGAAATGCTATATGAATGATACAAATATAATATTTTAAGACCAGCAATTCCTTGTAAGAAAAATGCTTTTATCTCCTGCCTCATAATGCACCACATTACTCAGCATCCAGTGAAATACAGAGTCAAATCTGTATGAGGTTTTAATAAATAAATAATACTGAAGAACTGTAATTTTTTTTCTTCTATTTCCTATGGTTACACCTGAGAGACCAGGAGGGCTGTGGAAATCCACCTTGTATTAACATCCAACTGGCAACATTGTACTGAAGTATTATGGGCCAGATCCAACTGACTGAATGAAAATATTCTTTTAGAGAAGTATTAATTTTAATTTCTTGTATAATATTTATCACAGACACAGTGTTTCCTTTTTCTCCCTGTCCCATTTGATAGGGCTAGGAGGTTACTGGAATGTAAGAGCATAGGCAGAAGGAAGAAGGCACAGCAACTTGGATCTTCACAAAATCGCTATGCTCACAAACCTCAAGGTGGGTTCTTAGCAATTTTTAGCCCTCATAGGATTGAGCTTTACAACCATAGAAGTGTAAAAATAAAAACATAAAAAAGTAAATAAATAAAAAGAAAAATGAAAAAAAATCAAAAAGGGATTGAACTGATAAGATGCCAGAACAGCTCTTTCCCTCAGTATCCTGAGCCTTGCTGACCTTGAGGAACAGGTTAAGAGTTACAAGTTGCAAGGGAGTTGACTGAAGTCCATGATGGTTTCATTATGATTTTTGCCCATGATTACAAATATATAAAGGGTTCAGCAGTCCTGCCCTCCAAAAGAAATCACCTTTCTCCAGTTTCATAAAGAAGTGATTCCCAACCAGCCATTCTAGAAGCTGTCCTTCCAATGTCTCTCATTTTGTACTCCACAAGGTTCACAGTAGCATGAGATCCCAACACCTGAGCATAGGAATCCTTCAGATGCATAATTCCTCTATATGATGGTCTCTGAAAAAGATCACTAACCTACTGATGTCCATGTACAGGAGACAGAGAATAAGCTTCTCAATAGCAATTCTGATATTAGAATTTACCTATTTGGTAAAGTAAAAGGAGATTATCCATACTTCTCTTGTTGATGGGTTCAGGGAGTATAATGAGCTTCTCAGGTTAGCTCTAATTGTTCCTTGTATGGCTGATCTGTGTCACTTACTAAAAGAAAGTCCTACTACTTAGTGTACAGAAGAGAGTTTAACATTAGTAGGCCTTAGACTTCTTATCCTTAGAAATGCCCAATCACAAAGTTTGTCCTTCACCGGTATCTGGGAAGTGAGGACATCACCAACTTAAGTGACATGAGTGCCTTAGGGTACCTAAACTATTTACACAAACAATATAGGATGTACCAAAAGCCTGTTTTCCTTCTTAGAATCTGAATTTGTTTACATGCCAGAGGTTTCCTATTTGATCAGCCCCCAAAAAGCACTCTGAGCACTGAGTCGATAAAGATCTTCCCTGGTGCATGATATATACATGTCATACTTGTTGCTTGGGGAATTGAGCCCGTTCATGTGATTACATTAGAAGAGAACATTTGGTGGTTTTCCTTCCTTTCCTCCAGAAAAAATACAACTAAATAAGCCTAAAGAAGAGGCCAAGTGCAGAGGCTCATGCCTGTAATCCCAGGACTTTTGGAAGCCAAGGAGAGGGATCACTTGAGGCCAGTAATTTGAGACCAGCCTGGACAAAATAGCAAGATCTTGTCTCTACAAAAATAGAAAAATAAGCTGGCATGGTGATGCATACCTACAGTACTAGCTACTCAGGAAGCTGAGATGGGAGGATTGCTTGAGCCCGAAGTAAGGGTATTATAATACTGCAATCCCCAACCCCTAGTATGTGGCCCAGTACCAGACCTTAGCCTGTTAGGAACCAGGCTGTGTGTAACCACCTGAGCTCCACCTACCCCACACACACACCCTCCACTCCTCCCAATTTTCCATGGAAAAATTGTCTTCCATGAAACTTAAGAACTGAGCCCCATAGAAGGAGGTGCGCAGTAGGCAAGAGAGCGAAGCTTCCTTTCCATTTACAGCCGCTCCCCATTGCTTGCATCATCGCCTGAGCTCTGCCTCCTGTCCCCACAGCCTGTGGAAAAATTGTCTTCCATGAAACTGGTCCCTGGGTCCCTGGCGCCAAAAAGGTTAGAGACCGACCACTGTTATAATATATACACCTGACCTTTCTGTAATTCTTATTATCACCTGCAAAGGTCAGTTGACCTGTACCCAAGGTTTGGTTCAGATGTCTAGCATGATGATACAACATTCACGCCAAGAGGGAATGAGTCAGTTCCTTAAGTGAGGTCTCTGAGGAGGGCTGGACAGGCCTCTCAGGCAGCTCTGCTTAATAACAGTGGAATACACTGAAAGAATTGCACGTTTAAGACCTTATTTAAGAAGTCTTTAGAGAACCCTGAAGATGATAGGGAAGACAAAAATACCAGAGGATATTTTAGCCTTTGACACCTACAGCTAAAGTAAATAGTAAACATAATTTATTATTTACCTAAACACTAGAAGGATAAACCTAAAACTTCGCACTAAAGACCTGTTTATCTCAGTTCCTTCTTTCTAGTCCATCTTGCAACAAAAAATTACAAGGCATACTAAAAGGCTTTAAAAATACAATTTGAAGAGAGACGGAAAGCAAAAGAACCAGATTCAGATACAGCAGAGGTGTTAGAATTACCAGACAGAAATGTTTAGCCACCATGACTAATAAAGGCCCTAATGGAAATAGTGGACAAAACACACAGGAACAGATAGATAACGTAAGCAGGAGATGGAACCACTAAGAAAGAACCACAAGGGAATGTTAAGAATTAAAACAAAACAAAAACACTTCAATAGAAATGAAGAATGCCTTTTAGGAATCATCAATACAGTGGAAATATCTGAGGAAAAAACAAATCAGTGAGCCTAAAGAATAGTAAATAGAACCTTCCTAAACTGAAATGCATAGAGGAAAAAAACAAAAAAAAAAGACAGAACAGAATAGCAAAGTCCATGGGACAATTACAAAAGTGTAACATATACACAAGACTGCATAAAAGAGAAAAAAGAGACAAAAAAAGAAAGAGGATAATTGAAACAATGACTGAGATCTTCCCAAAATTAATCATAAGACACCAAATCACAGATCCAGGAAGGTCAGAGAACACTAAGCAAAATAAAAACCAAAAAGATGTACACCTGGGCACATCATTTTAAAATATAGAAAACCTAACGTAAAATGAAAATATTGAAAGAAGCCAGTAGGTAAAAAAACAAACAAAAAAAACAACATAGTTGTAAGGAATAAAGCTAAATTTAAAACTCAGACTTCTTTTCAGAAACCATGGAAGCAGGAAGAGTGTAGAGTGAAATACTTAAAAGTATTTAAAGAAAGAACACTGCCTTTTAGAATTCTATATCAAGCAAAATTATCCCTCAAAAATAAGGAAGAAGGATTTTCTGAGACAAACAAAAACTGAGGGAATTTGTCCCCAGTACACTTGCTTTGCAAAAAATGTTAAAATTAATTCATTACAAGAAGATAAATGATAAAGACATGTAGAGAATTTGAAAAAAAAAAAGATGAAAGTAAAATGAAATCATTTGGTACTTGGTTTTCTTTTCTTTCCTTTTTTGTTTTTGTTTTTGTTGTTGTTGTTATTTTAGGGACAGAGTCTCACTCTGTTGCCGAGGCTGGAGTGCAGTAGCACAAGCATAGCTCACTGCAGCCTCAAATTCCTGGGCTCAAGAGATCCTCCCACCGTAGCCTCCTAAGTAGCTAGGACTACAGGTGTACATCACCATACCAGGTGAATTTTTTTAAAAAACTTTTTGTAGAGACAGGGTCTTCCTATGTTGTCCAGACTGGACTCAAACTCCCGGCCTCAAGCAATCCTCCTACCTACTAGGGCCTCCCAACGTGCTGGAATTAGAAGTGTGAGCCACCCCAACTGGCCATTTTTAAATTAATCTGACAGATAAGAGTTTGTTTAAAATAATAACAACAATAATGTATACAATAATTATACCTTATGGATACATGAAATGAATGCCAGCAACATTAGAAGTAACAGAGAGGAAGGAATCTGGAATACTCTGTTGTGAAGTACTTGCACAGCAAATAAACATGCATGGTGTTAACTGAAAGAGGACTTGGGTTAGTTGTACAAGTATATTGCTTAAGGAAACCACTAAAATTAATAAATATATATATTTAATTGATATGCAAAGAGAACAAAAAATGGACTCAGGTAAAATGCTCAGTTAAGGCCAAAGAAGTCAGAAAAAAGGTCAAAGACAAAAAAGAAACAAAGAATAAGGGCAATAGATAGAAACCAGGAAGATATATGGCAGATATTAATCCAATTATATCAATAATCATTTAAGCATCAATAGTGTAAATACAACAATAGAAGAAACTGTCATATAGTGAATTTAAAAATTACACCTCATTATATGTAGTCTCTAAGAAACATAGTTTAAATACAAAGCATAGATTAAAAGTTAAAGGATAGAGAAAGATATACCATGCTAACATTAATCAAGAAAATACTGGCATAGCTTTATAAAATTCAGACAAGGCAGACTTCAGACCAGGGAAAACTCACAGAGATAAAAAAAAAAGGGGGGGGCATTACAAAATGATAAAGGGCTCAGTTCTCTAAGATGTAGCAATCTTTATTGTATGTGTGCTTAATCACAGAGTGGCAAAATGCACAAGGCAAAAATTGATAGGACTGCAAAGAGAAATACATGAGTCCACTAGTATAGCTAGAAACTTTAACACCATTCTATCAGGAATTACGAGACCCTCCAGGCAGAAAATCAGGAGGGACAAGGTTGACTTGAACAGCACCACCAAACCAATGGATTTCATTGAAATCCATGGAATACTTCATCCAACTATAGCAGTATATACATTCTTCTGAAGTTTACAAGGAACATTTGGCAAGACAATTACACAGTGGGGAAAAAAACACAACAAAACAGAGAGAATAGGAATCATACACAATATGCTTCAGACCATAATGGCATTAATCTAGATATCAATAACAGATAGCTGGAAAGCTCTCCCAACAAATGCTTAGAGATTAACACTTTACTCAATGACACATGGCTCAAAGAAGAAATTTCAAGAGCAATGAAAAATTAAAGAGCAAATTAAGGCCAGGCACGATGGCTCACACCTGTAATCCTAGCACTCTGGGAGGCTGAAGTGGATGGACTGTTTGAGCTCAGAAGTTTGAGACCAGCCTGAGCAAGAGCAAAACCCTATCTCTACTAAAAATAGAAAGAAATTATCTGGACAACTAAAAATATATAGAAAAAATTAGCCAGGCATGGTGGCACATGCCTGTAGTCCCAACTACTCGGGAGACTGAGGCACCCAGGAGTTTGAGGTTGCTGTGAGCTAGGCTGACGTCATGGCACTCTAACTCGGGCAACAGAGTGAGACTCTGTCTTAAAAAAAAAAAAATCAATATATTTGACAAATGTATATTCAAGCTAACTAAAAAAGAAGAGGGAACAGAAATTACTGATAATCACAAATGAAAGTGGGGAAAATAAAAATGAAAACGCTATAGAGAAAATCCAACATATATTTATGATAAGAAACTGGGAATAAAGAGAACTTCCTCTTTTGAAAAGCAACATCTTTTCATCAAGAAATCTGCAGCTAACATCATATATTTTAAAAAGAAAAAAAAATGTTGTGGAGATGGGGTCTTGCTGTGTTGTCCAGGCTGGTCTTGAACTCCTAGCCTAAACCAACCCTCCCATCTCAGCCTCCCAAAGTACTGGGATTACAGGGTGGGCCATAGCACCCAGCAACATCATGCTTAATAGTGAGAAACTAAGATGCTTTCCTGGTAAAATGAGGAACTAGGCAAAGATGTCCCCTCTTACCACTCCTATCAACGTTATACTCAAAGAATAATTAAGGCAATAAAACAAGAAAATATGCGATATACAGATTGGGAAGGAAGAAATATAACTGTCTTCTCTGCATATGACATGATTGTTTAATTAGAAAATGTCTGCCTGTAAACCTAGCACTCTCGGAGGTCAAGGTGGGAAGACTGCTTGAGCTCAGGAGTTCGAGAACAGCCTGAACAAGAGCAAGACCCTGTCTCTACAAAAAATAAAAATAAAAATTAGCTGGGCATGGTGGTGTACACCTATCATCCCATATACTCTGGAGGCTTAGGCAGGAGGATTGCTTGAGCCCAGGCAGGAGTTTGAGGTTGCAGTGAGCAATGATGATGCCACTGCACTCTGGCCCAAGCAACAGAGCAAGACACTGAGGCAAAAAAAAAAAAAAAAGAGAGAGAGAAAAGAAAGAAAGAAAGAGAACAGGCCAAACTAGGCTTTTAAAAGCACCAGGAATAATTACCCCTTTACTAAATAGGTTTCAATCTTTCAAGGCACTGTTGAATTGACATTGGCCCATAGTAACTAACTCAACTGGGGAGTAAGGTCAGTGGGGTCCCATTGTGTCAAACCAATTTGTAAGTGCAAAGACTTAATTAAAATTTTATTTATGACTCACTGGTTCAGAGCTTACCTGCTATGAGATATTTAGGACAATGGGTGATATGACATGAGGAATTTAGCAAGACAACAGATGATGATGGTTAAGGTGAGACACACCTAACTGTCCTCTATTTTATAT